CATCCTGCTTCCTGCCCGAGCCCCGCGCCCGCCCGCCGGCCGCCTCCAGTCCCAGCAGCGGCCCTGGCCCCCAAATGGATGTTGAGAAGGGCAAGGCCAGGGCCGCCCCTTAACCGCCCCGCCGCTGCCACAGCAGCAGCCGGGAGCTTGAATCTCGGCACCCGCCCTGTGCTGCGCCCCTGCCTGAGGGGAGCACTCGCTGCTTGGGTGTTGGTTTGGGTTTGTTTGGTTTTTTTTAAGAGCAAATAAAGTATCCCATTTATTAACACGGGTGCCAAGATGCACCCATTCCTGTTGTGCGCAACCGCTTCAGTTTTTAATGCTGACGGATAAACATACTATATGGTCCCGATTAGCTATGTTACTACAATACAAAATTTGAGTAATCGGATCGAGTCTATTCACTTCAATCGTATAAAATGTGATTCTGTGTTTTCTGCCTTTGATTGCTTACTTGTGTCTACAAATGTTTTACAGATCGCCATAGAGTAGAGCCCTGTTCACATCGGCATTTGTGAGTGCAATGGAAGACGGCAACACTGAAGAGGCGCTGGATATTCTTCGACTTAATGTTGGAGGTCACGTGTTCGTGGCCCGGCGTGAGTCTTTATGCCGCTTTAAGGACTCAATGCTAGCATCTATGTTCAGTGGACGTTTTCCTCTAAAAATGGATGAATCTGGTAAATACATCCAAGCTGCAAGTATCTAAATTTTGCTTGCCTGACTTCATGCTGTTTAAATCAGGGGTGGGCAAAATGCGGCCCACGGGCCGGATGCAGCCGGCCAGGCCACTGTAGAAAATTAGTATTCACCTGCCCTGGGCTGCCTGTCAGTCGTCCCTCGATGGCTTGCCAAAACTCAGTAAGCGGCCGTCCGCCCAAAATAATTGTCTGCCACTAGTTTAAATTGTTGCAGGAGTATTTTTTTTATACTGCTTACCATAGCTAATGGGCAGACACAGATCATATCAACTTCCTGTTTTGAGGGGTACTTAAATAAACTGTAGTAATACAAAGAGAAGAACCTAGATGAAGTGCTGTCCAAGTCAGTTCTGCAGGATCAAAGACACTGGCAGAGGTCAGAATAGTAGTATAGGTCACAATTATAAAGCTAACTTTTGGGTTAAAAAAAAAAAAAAAAATCAAAATACCCTTATTTCAAAGCTTCTGAACACCAGCAGCTGCCATTCACCTAGTAGAATTTTCTGGTTCTTGACATCGCTACGAAATTAAACCACTAACTTTCAGTTACAGAGAAAAGATCAGAGAATTTTGTAAAAGATGAAAATATGCTCTGAATACTTAATTGCCAACTAAGATGACTATTTATTTGAGCTACTATGTCCAGATATGAACAGATGAATTAAAACTATTCACAGTAGATCAAATTTTGATTCAGTCATGACACTGTAACTTAAGAGTCCTTCAGCTGTGACTGAAAGGTGAGTTAGAAACTTTGTTGCTCGCTTCTTTTAAGGAACAGTGGATGTGTCTACATATGCACCAGACTGCGCAGTTGTTACTGCTACTACTAAATAACTACTCAGTAACTCGCGTTACGACGCAATCCTGATGCCACACGGGTTTTTCCCATGTTACTGTGCAGTAGCTTGTTGCTACTGCACAGTAGCATCAGTGTCATGGTTTGTGCCTGCCAACGTTACATCGCCATAGCAAGATACAGCAATGTAGCTTGTCACTACAGTGATGTAGTGTCCGTCTCATGTAGATGTGCCCAATGTCAACCTAAAATCTGCTTCTGTTTTGAAATGTTTAGTTACAAGTACTATTTCCCTAATGTGTTTCATGTAAAATTTCCTAACACAGCAAATGGCACCTTATATATAATCATTTTCTTTGTTAGCTGCCAGTTTTTTTTGCATTAATTCAGCAACAGATGGAAAAAAAAACCCAGATGAAGTAACTGTAGAAATTGAGAAGTTGTTAGGAAAATGTTAAGACAGATGCAGCATTAGAGATGAAACAGTTTTTACCTTCTCATGGAACTGATTAGATTTCAAGTAAAAATGGAGGGCATTTTTGTAGGATTATATTTGGTATAGTTTATGCCTCATCCCTCAATATGGTCTGCGCAGATCATTGGTTTCACTGGAACTTCAGACACCGTAGGAATCTACTCCAGGGGTCATTTTGTAGGATTCAGGGTTTGGCTTATTCATCTGCAAGTGACCAAGTA